CGCTGACTCCTGTAGATCGTTTCCCTTCAAGCCTCCGCTGTGAATACGCAACGACGGTCGGGAACAGACCGACGCCGACGTTAGACATTTGTGAATATGAGAAGTGCACTTTGGTTCCCTCCATCTCCACACTGCCTTCATTCCTGACTCAGTGGTGACTCACTGAGACGTTCTCCAGTTTGGGATGAAGTGTCTATTGGCTGGACCAATGATGGAACAAACGGGCCTGAGGTGGAACCGTCGAATGAACCCACGGTGATGTTTTAGCTGAATTCGTTAGAACTGTGGTCGTTCTCCGTCGTCTGCTCTGAAGAGCAGCGCCCGAGATCAAAGCCACTCCTTTAAAGTGACACTGGGTCCACGTCAGTCAGAGGGTCCGACGACAATCCTGAGAAAGACTGTGAATGCCTACAATCATCCGAAGGAGAGGAGAACCGGACTGGACTGAGTTCTCACTCCTGAGTCGGCTGCTGTGTTTCAGGTCACGTGACCGACGGTGTCGGAAGAGTCCGGAGCCGAGAGCCAGTCCACGGAGGAAAACATTCCCAGGCCTCGGTCACATGACTCACATGTCCGTTTGAGAGTGAACGGTCAGAACCACGAAGCTGGCCATCCTTAGGGAAGTGCACGTGAAGAACGTACACTGTTCTGAAGTAGAACTCTCCGCCTGACGACGTGGGTTTTTTTTGTTTTTTTTTTTGTTTTTTCCTGAAGACGCAGTATTACTCCTTCCTCATCTTCTCCTCATGTCGTTGCCGTGTTTTATTTGCAGTAAGGGTGGTGTTGTGTACATACACTGGTCCACAGCACCTCCACGGACCGTGACCGTCCTGGAGCTCCTGCACGTTAGCGCACACTAGAATGCATGTGACACCCCTGCACCAATCAGCTGACCGGTGGAGGTCACATGGTCTCGCATTGATCGTCGTTGTTTCCAGGGGGCGTCAACGATTGTATATTCTGATTTTTGACTTAAAGTATTTAAAATAAGTTTAAACTTTATGAAATAGAACCACACACTACAGTTCCTGCTTCTTTTGGAACCATCGCTTCATTTGGTCGTTGTTTTTTTTTTTGGTCATAAACCAACTCTGGTTGACTGTAGTGATAACTGACTGCTAACTATCAACACACTAATCTTGTTGTCCTGTCGCAGAGGGTCAGAGGTCAGAGGGGTTTTCCTGACCTCACTGCCTCTGTTCCACTGACGTTCCACTGTTTGTTTGAATTAAAAAATCCATCTTTTTATTTTTTATTATTTCTATTCACCTGCACAACTTTGATCCAAAGTCTTTAAATGTTCTGTTCACACCCCACACACACACACACACACACACACACACCAGTCAGTGTTTGAATGTAGCACAGATCAAACACCGCTCTGTGCTCGGTGGGACGTTGGTTCTGAGAATTGACCTTTGACCTTTCAATGTTTCACTGGCAACGTCTTTGACTAAAGTAGAAGTTCTGCTGAGAACCCACCGGTTCTGCAGCTCTGAGTGAAAGAATGTACAGAGTTTGTCTCACTTTTTTCTTTTTTTTTTTTTCTTTCTCACCTTCTGCTGAAGAACGTCCCGTCAGGAACCTCCGCCTGAGTCCCTGGAACTGTTCCACTGTCACTGACGATCACACGTTCTCATCATTGTTCTCTCTGGTTACTATGCATGTTCTGCAGCAACGCCACCTTTTTTCTCTCCTCTGCTCAGTAATATCCAGACCTGTATTTATAGATTTGATTTGATGTCTTCACTCCGACTGTACAGGACGGACGTTCTGTTTCCATCCACCTGTGGTCCATCTGGAACAGAACCAAGAAACTGTTCCGCTCTAGAAATAAACATATTCAGAGTAGGAGTGGATTCTGCCTGGTCTTTATTTAAGGAGGTTCTCCTGTTTCCTTCACGGTTCTAGGTCATTGTTCACTCTGAACTGACCAAAGGTGTCAATGTGAGTGTGGATGGCTGTTGGAACCACGCCCTCGCCTGGTGACTGCTGGGATTGACTCCATTACTCCCGAGAAGAATTTAAAGGTAAAAGTAAAGAATGAATTAAATATTGCAGATGCAAAAGTAAAGAATGAATTAAATATTGCAAATGATACCAGCAGCAGCACCGACCTATGTTGTTGTTGTTGTTGTTGTTGTTGTTGTTACCACTGTTCTCCTGTCTCTCAGGGTCCTGTTAGGGTCACGGTGTTGGTTCACGGCTGCAAAACTGAAGAGTCACGGATTCCTTTTCTTCTTTTCTTCCCTCAGTCACTTTTACTTTACATGGTAGCATGGCTAGCTTAGCCTAGCCTGAGAGAAGACTCTCAAAGACAAATCGCTTCAACTGCAACAGACACACCTCCTCTTCTTCCTCCTCTTCCTCCTCCTCTCAAAGGTCATTCCAGGTTGCTGATATCACACAGGGATATAAAAGGCAGCGTGAGCTCCGAGCTGGAGACCAGAAGCCAACGACTCTCCGTGGTTGTGGACCTACGACGACTACCCTCACGCCCCCCCCAGGACAGAATGCTGTTCTGCCACTCACAGCCTGAGCCCTACCACCAGCACCCTGCTGCGTACATTAGGTAAGGAGGACTTGTGGAATATGGTCGGGGGGGTGAAGCAGGGAGTGAGGTAGGTAGTTTAGTCCCTGGCATCAGACAGCTGCAGCGCAGAACACATCTGTCTGAGGACTTTCTGACTTTGTTCCTCTTCTTCTTCTTCTTCTCCTCCTCCTCCTCCTCCAGAGATGCTGTTGCTCCTTTTCTGACCGATGAAGACGTGGCTGAGACAGCGGACGGTGCAGAGGGGACTTCCTTCCGGTACGTTCTGTGTGCGGCCACCTCCCCAGCCGTCAAACGTCAGGAGGAGACGCTGACTTACCTCAACCAAGGTAGGCTCCAGTCCTGCTGCTCTGTTAGCTCCCGCTAACTCCTAGCATTCCCTGGAGCCTCCTAGAGGCCGTCTGCGGCTCCAGTGACTGAGGGTGAAGGTTTTTAAATCCTGTAGAAATGACGATGAGAACCAGAAAACAGAACTGTTTCAGTCAGGTCCACTACAGGAATATAGGCATGTATATATGTGTATATATTTATAAATACATATACACATTATTTTATTTACAGTGCACACACACACACACACACGTGTGTATATATAAATATATATCTGCATATATATATTTATACAATATATTTTTATATATATGTGTATATATATGTATATATATGTAAATATAGATATGTATAAATGTAAATATATACGTATATGTAAATATATATATGTATATATATGTGTATATATATATGTATATAGTACTGACCATCCACTCAGGCCCATTGGTGACTCAGAGCGTTGTTATCTGATAGAAAACTCGTGTGTTTGTTGATCGTGCGGTTCTGAGATGTTTGTACTTTGTTCTTTGTTCTTTTCTATCTCTGTTCCAACTCTTGGACTCCTGTTCTCCTCCTCCTCCTCCTCCTCTTCCTCCTCTTCCTCTCTCTGACTGTGGTGACGTTGTTTCTCCTTTTCTTCTGCTTCCCAGCTCCACAGTAATTTGTTTTTGATCAGACACAGTCAGAGGAAGTCTGACTGAACACAGACCTGTCAATCACACACACACTGACGTTCTGTCACTCCTGTTGAATGAACCTCCTCACTCCTCTGATTCCTCCCCTTCTTTTCTCAGTGTCTCGTTTCACACTTTTCAATTTTAATCAGTTTTTTTTTCAATGTTTTAAAATGTAGGTCAGTCCTACGAAATCCGTTTGCTTAGCAGAAAACTAGCGGAGTATACAGATATAAGCAGCAAATATGTGAAGGTAGGTGTAAGGTCACGCCTCCTCTGACCTCCTCTTCACCTTTTTCCATGTTTCCAGCTCCTGCTCTGTCACAGCTCCTCTCCCCTGCTCTCCTTCACACACACACATTTTCTCTATTTTTTTCACACACACATTTCCTCATTTCCGATATTATCAGCCCAATATTAGCATCATCACGTAATGTCTTTAAGAATTGATGTTTTTCCTCCGATAATGAAAACCCGATAACGCAACGCAAGGGTTTCGCCAAACTAGCTTTAGGGAAAAAAAACGGCTGTATGTGAAAGTGAAATGTCCAAATGTCTGCGGCTGGTTGCCATGACAGCGAGGACACGCAGCATTGACCGTGTGTCTCCGACCACGCGGTTCATTTCATTAGCGATGAGTCCGTGGTCTGGACGCGCCTCTGTTGTGATGCAGACACCGCCGTCATGGCTGCGGCGTCCTGGAAACGCAGGAACGTGAGCAGGTGGCGTCTTCACAGACCCCTGACGGGACGGGAGATCTCCTGAGGCCAGGACCACAGACGGAAACCTGGTCCTGTTGTGTAACGTCCCACGTCTGACGTTACACAACTGTTTGTTTAGCGGCTCTGCTGGTTAATGACTGAACCACAGCGGGTTTGTTCAGATGGAGAACCGGGTTCTGTTTCCCACAATGCCTGTGTTCTAGAGCAGTGATTCCCAACCACTGGAAAATTATTAAATGTCCCAAAACTAGTATTTATTGCAAATAATTTTTCGTTTGTCAAAGAGCAATAAAATCCTCTTCCACTAGATGGCAGCAGATGGTTATTAAAAGTAAGACAAGATTATCAGAGCTGTTGAAGAAGATCTTTGTCTTTCTTCAATTCCTGCCAGTATATTAGCATTGTCTTCAACTTAACAGGAGTACATTTTTTT